GAATTTTTATAGACAGTAGACATTGATGTCTTGCTTTTTTATATAATCATCTTATATAAATCATAATTTGAGTATTTAGATCATGCAAGTTTAATGTAATAATCAGCATAGTTGATGGTAATCAATATTACCTTACGAAATTTTTTACTTCTCCATCTGTGGTTGCTTCCTTTATTCTCCCACTCCACCCCCACCCCCCACCCCGACAACATTTTTGCTATCCAATATCGGGTCATTAGCTATGTACCTCTGTCCTACTATTTTTTCCTGGGTGGCTTCTTTAAATGTTTAAAACACACACCTCTCACTTTTGAGTCCCCCTTCTATTAATATTACACCAGTTTACCTATAATTTAAGGACCTTACCACAGACTTACTTCCATTCTCTGCCACAGCCTCACCTTCGCACTGTAGCTATCATGCATTTTAGTTCTACTGTTACAATGAATAATACATTAGTTATTAGTGTTAGTTTTACTTATGTGCTTAATTACCTTTTGTAGAGATTTAAAATGTGAAAAGTCGTCTCTTCATTTCCCCATGCTTACTATTTCTGGCCCACTTTTCTCCCTTACTGTCCAAGTATCTCTACAGAATCATTTCTTCCATCTGAAGAACTTCCTTTAACATTTCTTGTATCACAGATCTATTGACAATGACTTCTCTCATTTATTTGTCTGAAAAGTCTGAATTTTGCCTTCATTGTGAAGGACATTTTCAATGGATATAGAATTCTTGTTGACAGAATTTTTCTTCATTACTTTAATATCATTCTATTTCCGGGCTTATGTTGTTGCTTACAAGAAGTCTTCTGTCATTACTCCATTCCTTTATAAAAATATGCTCATTCTCTAGCTCATTTTCAGCTTTTGTTTTACTGGTTTTGAGTAATTATCATGATGTGCCTTTGTGTAGCTTTGTTTGAGTCCATTACTTATGCTTGAGGTTCAATGAGCTTCCTGGAATGAATTTATCATTTTCACCAAAATTGGAAAAAAGTTGGTTATAATCTCTTTAAATATTTTCTTTTGTCTTTCCTCATCTTCTTTGACTTCTAGGACTCCAGTTACATGTATGTTAGTCCTCTTGATATGGTGCTATAGGTAATTCAGGTTCTGTTTAACCTTTTGGTTTTTTAAAATTTCTTTTATATTATACATACAAGAGCTGGGGTGTAGGCCAGAGGTCAGGGGGTGGGGGTGAGAGGATTCACCAGAGACAGAGTGAGAAGCAGAATAGGCAGATCTAGTGAAATACACTGCTGAGGGGAGCAGCAGGTGAGACAGGAGAGGTCTGCTGTGCGATGTTGGTCAGCTCCCTGGCTGGGGCTTGAACCCTTGTTGCAGTGGTTTGTAGTTTGAACTCTTGTTGTAGTTTGACAGTGCTGAGACTTAATCCCTTGCACCACCAGGGAGGCCCCTCTGTTTAACCTTTGCCAGTCTTCTGCCTTTCCCTGATTTAGAGTGGAAAGTCTTTATTGCTATGTCTTCAATTTCACTGATCTTTTATGTTGTGGTATCTAGTGCCCTCTTAATTCTGTCAGTGAATTTTTACCTTTAGATATTTCCTTTCATTCTCTGTATGTCTTCCATTTCTCTCCTTATTTAATCTTCCTTTAAATTCACAAGCATATTTCCAATATCAATCTTAATATCAATCTTAATATCAATCTTAAGGATGTTTTCTGCTAATTCATCACATATGTCATTTCTGAGTATGTTTTCACTGACTCATTTTTCTCTTGGTTATGGGTTACACATTTCCTGATTCTCAACCTGTCTGGTACCTTTTTGATAGAATGCTAGATGCTGTCACTGTTACATTATTGAATGTTGGATTTTGTTGTCTTCCTTTAAAGAGAGTTGAAGTTTCTTTTGACAGTCAGTTAAATTGCTTGCATATTAGATTATTCTTGATAACTTTTTTTTTAAAAAGAAAGTAGATCTGTTTCAAACTTTTCATTGAATTTTAATAAGTGCAGATAAAAGCACACATAGCAATTATATAGAGCTTGAACTCTTCTGCCATGTAACCAACACACTCAGATAACAAATCTACCAAGGCATGGCCTCCAGGGGTCTCTAGGGATCATCCTGAGTGATCAGTAAAATCTCTTTACTCTAGCTGGGCAGAGCTTGAGGGAGCTCTGAGAATGTTCTGTCTTAAAGCTCCCCATCGGCAGTTTCACCATTCATGTGGGCGGGTCAGGCTCCAGCAGATTGTCAAGAGGACCTGATTCAGATTTCTGGAGCTCTTTTGCTGGGTAGCCCTCTTCTGTCTGGTATTTTGAGCCACAACTTCAAACCACCTCTTCTTCAAACTCCAATCTCTAACCCCTCAACTCTGCAAGGCTGTGGGGCTTTTTGGAGCTCCTCCTTCTGACTCCATGGTTCAGAAGATGCCTCAAGGCAGAAAGTGGCTATTGTAGACCTCACCTCACTTGCTTCCTTTGTTTTAGGAATCAGAGGCATGCCCCTGCCTGTTGTCCAATTCATCTAGAGTTGTTAATGGTGTTTTTAGTTTTAGTTGTTAATGGCGGTAGAGTAAGTCTATTTCTAATTACTCTATCATGGCTAGATACAGAACAAAGGCCCCTTTCAATGCATTTTCCAGCATAGAAGCCATGTCTTGCAAGATTTCATCTACTAAAATAACCCAATCCATATGTCCCTTCCATCTATCTATTCAGTGGCTGCCTCATCCCTGGGAAACAAAGATGAATAAAACTTGATTTCTGCCCTCAAAGAACTCACAATTAAAAGGAAAAGTCAGAAATGTATAGTAAATTATACTGTTGAGTGACAAGTTGAATTATACAAGCAACACAAAGGGCTGGCTGTGAAAATATAGAGAAAGATATGGCTAAATCTACTTGGAGAGGTCAGGGAAGATTTCTACAGCTCAATGTTTAGAATAAGTCTTGACGATGAGTGAAAGTTTGACAGATGAGTTAGGACATATCATAGAAAACTCTGTATGCAAGATATAACATAAAACAGCACACACACTTAGAACTACTAATAGTTCCAAACACCTACAATATAGGATCCAAATGAGGGAGAGGAGAGAGTTAAAGCTGTGGAAAAAAAAGGGGAGGAAGATCCCCTCATGAAGGAGGGTCTTGAATACCATGTTAATCATCATTTGAGTCAGTAATCTATCATCATTACCATCTGTAGTGCTCACAGGATATATGTCTTACATACATTACATACGTCACTTTTAACACAACAACATTATGAGGAAATGAAGACTTAGAGGGCTTAAGAAATTTTGCACAAGATCACACATCTAGTGAGTGAAGAAACTGGGATTTATACACAGCTCTGACTCCAAAGTCAACAAAGGGAACTGGCCATCAAGCCAAAGGCAGTGGGAAGCTGTGGAAGGATTTATAAGTTTTTTTTAAAATTTTATTTATTGATGGAATAGTTTTGAGGAGGAGGGAAACACAGCTAGTGTTCTATTTTAGAAAGGCCACTCTGGTGCATGAGAAGGGCTAGAAGGAAGAGGCTAAAGAATCAGTTCAGAGGCTGCTGGTGATAGTGCAGGACAGATACAAGAGCTTGGGCTAGGTGGTGTTTGGGAGCGATGGAGAAGAGGGTTGAGAAAAGTTCGAGAAGCAGAAGTGCTTGATAAACCAGCAGCCATGGCTGAGGAGACACTGTGAGCACAAGTGTGGCCATGCTGACACACTGCAAGTGCCTGGTCCTGCACCAGGGACACACAGATGCATAGGGCATGGCTTTGCCCCTCAACAACTGGACAGCTTAGCAAATTTTACAGATTCAAGTCTATGAAGTCCTTTGACACAACAAGCACCTCAGGGACCACATGTAGGCCCCGTTACACCTTTGGTATGTTTGATGAGTCTACAGCTGGAAGCCACAGCTACAGAATATTCTCCAGCCTGCTACAAACCAGCATGCAATCGGAGGTCATGTTTGTGTAGGTCAAGACTGCTAGGCTGGGAGGGAACTGTCCTCCAAGCCAGCCTGCAACTGTTGACAACTTTATTAGGAACAAGTAGGTACCATTTACTGAGCACTGCGACATGCAAGCACTGTGCCAAGCATCTGAAACCTTGTGGCGAGCCACTTACCTGCTAACGGCAAACTCTCCAGGGCAGGACTCCTGGCAGCAATGGAGCAGCAGGGCCACTGTCATGACACATCCCCAGTGACGACAGCCACAGAAGCCCGGCCCCACACCTGCTTGTGTGGCCAGGAACATTCGCTCCTTCCCATCCGAGAGTCAGAATGATTTTACTGCCCATAGCTCTCCCAGCAGGAAGAAGCACGGAGGTCAGCCCAGAAACATCAAAAACATATTTTCCTGGGAACCCCAATCCTCCTCACTTGCAGGATGATGGGGGGAGGGTTGGGTCAACTTTGCACAGTCACCAAGAGGCAGCCATGAGTGGCAACGTGGGACAGGTATGTGGTCAGAGGTCAGGGTGGTGAATGTGGCAGCCAGTTGCTTTGGGCTAAACAGAGCCTGATTCTGCCTCGACCTGGAGTAGCAGAGAGAGGGTTAGGGGATGTGCAGCCCCACTCAAGCCTGACAGCTGAGAGCCTGCCAGGCAGGCAAAGGATAGCATTCGACCACTGTCCAGGAGAAGTGACGGAGGTTCATGTGCCACATCTGGAATCCCTCCTGCCAACCTTCTGGGGGTCACTCGGGGAACCTGCCCTGCAATCTGGACATGACAGCATGATAGGATGGTGAGACCTCCAGGTTCCCACGGAAGAAAGTGCCATCTAGACCGGGGACAACTTCACAGTGTTTCAAATGAATGTTATAAAGGCAGAATAGGAATTAAAAAGTGAAGCACCTCCCAACTGGCTTCACTGAGACAGATTTCAGAGAGGGCAGAGCCACATATTGTGGTTCATCGGCTGCAGGAAATCCAGAATGTGTCCCTGCTCCGCTGCACTCCCCAGAGCCACCCTCATGTCCACAGCAAGAGCACAGGAGTCAGCCTCAAGCTCATTACCTACCACGTCATTGGGGAGGCTCTGGAGGTCATCGAAGGGGGTTTCCAGAGTGTTGGTGTCCACGTTAAGGATCACGACATCGTCCAGGGCCATGTTTCTGACTTTCTGAAAGTACAAGAAATCCAGAGAAAATCACCAGAGCCCCACAAGCACAAACATCCCTCTGGTCTTCTCCGGGAAACAAGGAAGGGCAGTGAGTCTTACCCAGACTCACTCTGTTGTGGCCCATGCTGGTGGTTTCCCCTGGTTAGACCTCGCTCTGGGATCCTGGTCAGGGAGACCAGGCTTCACAGTGCTCCGTGGGTCCTGCCTTTCTGGCGACTGTACGGCCAGAGGCAGGCCTTCTGGAGCCAGTACAGCGGTGCCACTTCCCACCAGTGCGTGTTCTCTTTGTGAATGGAGGTCTGTGGATGTATTTTGAAGACGCCACTATTGTACACGCAATACTATAGTGTAAACATGACTTTCAAATGTCCCGGGAAATAAAAAAATTCACTCCATTGCTTTATTGAGTTACTCGCTTTATTTTGGGGCTGACAAAATACTGCAGATGCTACTGCATCTGCACAGTCATCCCTAAGCCCCCGGAGTGGAAACAGTTTTACAGAGACTGAGTTGACATGCCCAAGCCACACACTAGCATCTTTAGAGTCTGACATTATCTTTCCTATATTTTCCAACTTTAAAAAATAGCGGCTGAGGTCTAAAGCTTGCACCCCAGGGATTCTGATACACACCTAGGCTTTTAGGAATCCCTCCCCTATCACAGACAGAAGGCTATCTCCCATCTCACTTTTGGATCTTTCTATTCTCAGATATAGAATGTGGGGTATGGCCTGAGGTCCGCACGTTAACATTTCCCTTAAATAATAATTAGGAAGGTCACATTCTCAACATGGTTCTACTTCACAGGAATCCAGTGTGTGTGCAATGGCTCCGGCTCTGGCCACCAGCTGTAATTCGACGGTACAGTCACAAAAAGGGCAGGGAGACTTGTGCCTACGAGGTGTTCATGTCTGGTGAGGAGGAAAGGATGGAGTACGATATGGAGAAAAGAAGTCTACCGTCTGGAAGCAGCTCCCCACAGTCTGCAGAAGCACAAGCTTGTGTGTGGCCTGGGTCTGAAATTTTTAAGCACGCTGCTGACCCCGGATGGAGTTCAGCTCCATTTTTCTCTGGCTGAGCCACCACACCCCATGCCACTCAAGCCTCCCACCCCATCATATATCAAAGCCAGTTCCTTTGGAGTCTACAGCTTCTGAACAGTTGTCTTCATTGCATCCTTTCCTGATTAAGTAGAAAGACGATTTGTTGACAAAACTGGGACACTTGGGGTGTGAAAGAGAACATGCTCTATGCAGTGACAGGCCTAAAATGGGGTACATGGTCACCTTATCTATAAAGGGTCCATTCATTGTTAGTCACAGTCTGAGCTACTGCATGATGGCAGGTGTGCATTGCCCAAGGTGCTGGACCAGCCCGGCTGGGGCTGAAATCTGCCAAGCTGTGTGCTTGCTGAGTGGCACCAGGCAGGAGAGGGGAAGGAGAAGATGCACTTTTCCAATTCACGCAAGAGCACTGTACAGTGACGGAGCTGGACATCCAGGGGAGGTGCTAAAACCTACGTTTACTGAGGCTCCATAAATGGGCAGCAATTGCAACGCATTAGAAGCCTACTAGTGCTTGCTCTGTGCTTTTTAAAAAAAATTATTTCCTTTGATTCTTATCAAACCGTGCAAAATGCACATATTACCCTCACCTTCTATTACCTGAGGGAAACGAGGCTCAGAGAAGTGAGGGAAGGGGCAGAGATAACACAGCACTGGCTGCCTCTACAGACCAGGGTCTTTGTGGGGCACATCAGCCTCCTTGTTAGACATAGTCAGTGGGGCCCTTGAGGCAACTTAGGCAAAAGAAATTGCCAGCTGGTAGGATAAGAGCTGCCCCAAGTCCTGTTTGAACAAGCAGACTAAATCATGGGCTGGTGAGCCCCGTCCAAACAATTTGGTCCACCACACTGACCAGAAGACGCCATGCTAGAGAAAAAGCCCTCGATCCTGCCTGATTCTCACACTTTCCTAGAGGGAGAGGCTGAGTCTAGGAGCATAGTTGGAATGAGGCCAATAGCCCCACTCTGAACAAGCTATGAGCTCTCTCCTCTGCCCTGCCTTGTGGACCTACCCCTTAAATATCGCCTCCTGGGCCCCCCTGGTGGCACAGGGGTTAAGTCTCAGCATTATCAAACTATTCGCAGCCACTGTAGCACCAGTTCGATCCCCAGCCAGGGAGCTGACCCACACGGCGCAGCAGACCTCTCCTGTCTCACCCACTGCTCCCCTCAGCAGTGTATTTCAGTAGATCTGCTATTCTGCTCCCCACTCTGTCTCTGGTGAGTCCTCTCATACATACCCCCCACCTCTGGCCTACACCCCAGTTCTTGTATGCATAAAAAAAGGAATCTTTAAAAGGGGGAAAATAGATAAATAAACATCTCCTCCTAACTTCCTCCGAGGAGCCAGGTTAAGTTCTTTCTGGCACTGCTTGCCTTGTGTGTGAGTCTCCAGCAAAGTCTTGCAAAGGACCCATTCTTTTGAGCCAGGATCTGTAACTACCCTTGTCACTCCAAGTCCCAGCACCTCCTTTCCTGCCTGCCTCCGGGATTGGGGTATGGGCTGCCAATGTGCTGGCAGGAAGTTACAACAGGCGCTCGGGCAACCGTCTTGTCACTGTGTCACACTTTGGGGCTCACACGGCACTTTCACACGGGGGTTTTCATTTTCAAGCAGGGAGACGGAGGTGAAGTCTCACCAGTCCCATTTTAGAGGAGCAACAGCAGTGCAGAGAGAAGAGGCAGTCTGCCCAAGGTGATGGGGCCATGCTGGCTTTTCCCTTTGTACAACTGAGATGGCATCTGTGACCGCCTGCGCAACTCACTGCCCCGGGCTGCTGTGAGGCCTGGCAGAGACGCGTGTGTGGTGCTGGGCACATGGTCAGACTTTAGCTGAAGTGGCAATGGCTGGGGGAAACATTCCTTTGGCCCCTTCTTGGTACCTGCTGGGCCCTAAAAGTGCTAAGACACTTGTACTGGAAATAGGATCGGAGAAGGGGCATAGAGGGGCTTCACAACTCAGCCGGGGACCCCAGCCCAGGGGACCAAGTTGAGGACCACAACACCCTGGAATCACCCAATTTTGCCTCATCAGACCTTCCAAACAGAAGGGGACAGAGGACCCTACCTCAGGGGCAGAGAGGCCCAACGAGTGGGACGCACTTCTGGACCAGAATTGGTGTTGCTTCTGGTTCCCAGGGGGCCCCCCCTGCAGGACAGACCAGCCTTGTGGGCTCTCCATGGCGGGGCTGGAACAGGCCTTTGATTCTTCCCACTCCTGGCTGGAGGACTTGCCGGTTAAGCTGTGTGGAGTGTTTACTTTTTCAACAATGGCAGCAGACTGAAGAAGAGGAAAAAACCTGGCCCTCTTCTCTGACTCAGCGGGCCAGGGTCCCCTTAGTAACCCAAATGCCCAAGCCCCAGGCTCCAGGCAGGAGCTGGGTCAGCACAGTTTCCTCTCCCAGGACAATGCCGCCCTCCCGGGGGCAAGGCCTCTTCCGAGGGGGCTGGCGTGGACTCAAGGGCCTTCCTGAAGCTCAGAGTTCCCAAGGAAAGAATCGGAGGCCTGCTCGGCCGGATGGTGCCTTATCCCTGAAAGGCTCAAGGACACAAGGGGAATGAAGAAAGGCCAAAAAGAAAAAGAAAAACAATAACAACACCCCATAAAACAGACAACAAAACCAAACAAACAAAAAAGAGCCCCCAACACAATAAAACCCAAACCCACCAAAGCCCCCTCAAGCTGGGAGTGGGGGGAGGTGCAGGTGGAGGAGAGGGCCGGCTCACTCGGGCCTGACCACACTCAGGGGGTCACTGCCTTCTCCGCAGGGAGGGTGGGAGAGGAGGCCCAGCGCTGACGGGCGAGCGGCAGAGCTGACTTGAACCTATTCTGGCCGGAAAGCCTAATTCTTTCGGACAATGTCCCAAATGCAATCGCTCAGACTTGAGAACGTGTACCTATGTGGCCCTGCGGTTATCTGGACACACCTGCTCAGGGCCTGCTTTCCCGACACAAGATAACGCTTTTCTCTTTATCATAAAAATTACACAGACCTCCTTGTTCAAAAAAAAAAAAATGGGACAAAATAAAAATAAAAAAGGAAAAAAATGGGACAGACAGAAGGAGGAGGAGACGACAAAGAAGAAAATGAAATTACAGCCAGTCTCATCGCTCCATTTGGAGGTAAAGTCTTGGTACATTTTCTTCCGCATCCCTCTACCCCCAATGGCTGCTTGAAACAATTTTGAAACAGTTTCTTTCTTCTTCATTGATTACAATATAAGCAATGCTCCACTTCATTAAAAGCTTTGTAAAGATCATTACTGATGGCTACAAAGCATCTCACCTCATGGCCACCAACCACCCAAACCCCTCTGGTCGGCTGTTAGGCCCAGTTTTTAAGAAACTGATTATATGCAATATTGTCATGCAATCGGGAGGCAGGAAGCTTTGTGCTGCAAGGACGGATTCCTAGAAGTGGAATCTACTTTTTACTTCTTCAAAAGTGTCCCTCTCAAATGCGACTTTGAGAGAGATATCTTTACTTCCAATTATTTTAAAGTCATTTTATCCACAGCTTGTGTTTCCTACTCGAAGTGAAGAAAAATCAGCAAAGACACGAGCAGATGTCAAAATAGTCTCCCAAAACCCTACCCAATTAAAACACTTACGAGTACCGCAGCACACCGAGACAGCTCTCCGGTAGCTTGTCCCACCAACACATTCCCTCTCTTTTTAGTTACAACATATGCCAAAGCTCCTGCCAGCTGCAAACCCTCCCCCTACCAGACTCTATAGGCTTTTTCTCAGAATGAAAAAAAAAAAAGGACTGACATGCACACCGGCTTTCCAAATGGCATTTCTTGCATAGAGAAACACACAAAAATGGCATCTCCCCATAAATATTGTTAATCAAAAATGTCTTTCCTTTTATGCTTTGTCACAGACCGACTGAGGCTGACCCTGGCCAGGGAAGGGAAAAATCAAAGTGTGGGA